GGCTTGATGATGGTGCCCACCACAAGGCCTCCGTTGCTGGTGCCCTTGCCCAGGATACGCCACATGTCCTCCACGTTCACGGCGGGGCCGTCGTAGAGGCGGAGGAACGAAGGAGGCAGGTAGAAGTCGTAGATCTTGCCATACTCCACGTCACCCATACCTCAGAAACGCAAAGTTACAAAATTGTGAGCGGTGCAAAGGGTTAAGATCAACTGCTGAGCATCCCGGACTTATCCAATGCTGCTGCCTGTCTGAGCTATGGACCCTGATTGTTGCCGATGGCCAGAGTCAGGAAGGAGCACATCATGCCGCGGCCATCGATGATGTTGCGGTCGAAGAGCAACGTGGGGTACGCGATCTTCATTTCCTCGCTGTCTGGGTCAATGTAGTAGACCAAGGCATCGACGGACTTGGTGAAATCATCGGTAGTGCACACGTTCACGTTGGTTCCAGTGGAGGACTCCGCGGCGAAGTGGGCGGCCGTGGCCAGGTAGTCATATCCAGCCTTGGGCTTCATGATGTAGGCAACCAGCACGTGCTTGCCATTCCTGACAAATGGAACATGCGCTTCCAATCTGGCATCTACTTGTCCCTGTAACAATCATGGGAACATTTACCAGCCCCCTGGTTCCTTGAAGGACTTGGTAATGGTTGGTAAGTATTCCCATGCAATCCTGTGCTTTGGTGGGCAGCTTGCCTGTGTGTCCCTTGAAGTGTTCATACTTCTTGTGATTCGGGTTTAGGGTTTAGGGTCAATCCCGCTTTACAGCTCTACTGATATTACGTACCAACACACACAAGCTGTAGTTGTTACAAATTGCTATTTGCTTTGAGATGTTTGCCCTGCTCGCCAGCTGAGACTGCTTAAATTTCCACTTGCCAAATGGTAGTTTCCCAAAATAGGGAGACCCCAATATAACCCCCAATATATTCTAGTCTTTCTTATGGGGACCCCCCAAAAAGGTACACCCAATTTTGGGACAGGCCCATCGGCCCGAATCCCGCATGGTCAAGGATGGCTGATGCCTCAGCCCGCCACTTGGAGGCTTCCCAAAATTAGGGGTGCCTTTTTGGGGATCCCTATTATGAGGATCATCCTATTTTGGGGTCTATATTGGGGTCCTTAATTAATGGAAACACATACTTCTACAGATGGGGTGCAAAGGTCCTCTGATATGTGCAAAAGGCTTCACGCATTTCATCAATACTCCCTGCTAGCTTCTGTGAAGGGGGTATCCTGGTGGTCCCTCTGGAAAAATTTCTCTAAGGATCCTACAGGGCTCTCGATTTGAGGAATTCTCAACTTCTGACAAATCGTGAAATACCAGTGGCTCCTGACAAAGGTAGCTGAATACAAACCCATTTGGACCCTCCGATCTTCGGCGAGGTTCTTGACCAGGGTTGCCTCATCCAAGGACAGGTCGGCGTAACGGCTGGACTGGTCCAAGGCGCGGCGGGTCACGGCACTCTCCTGCGGCTTTGCAAATGGTTCATGTGTTCTGGGGCATCTATGAGGTTTCCCCTGTGTATATCATCGCAGAAATCTGACTTCTCAAGGTTCACATGCTCCAGGAAAAGGTATATAGTATATTACATTATTATAGTATAGTACATTCTGGTATATTATAGTATCTTATAATGTAGACCCTAAAGCCCTAGACAAGCCCCTGGGATGATTCATATCTTAGATGCTTGTGCATCTTGGGATTTCTACTTGGCTTCTGGGTTGGGTTGGCCCCTAAAACCTCAGAAAAAAAAGAAAAAAAAAGTATTCGTATTTAGGGTCCCCGAATATATACATATATATTTTTTAGGGAAAATATTAAATATCCCAGGGGCTCATCTAGGGCTTTAGGGTCTATATTATAAGATACTATCATATACCCTAATATACTATAACATACTATCATATACTGTATATATATGATGAAACATATCATAAGATACCAACGTCCACCCTCCTTGGTGGCAACCACCGACGTCGGAAGCGGGGTGCCACGAGTCTTGCGGCCTGCGGCTAGCAGAAGTATTCACTGCGTGGGAATTTGGGTTGGTTTAGGGTTCAGGGTTTAAGGGTGTAGGGTTAAGGCTTTATGGTTGAGGATTTAGGGTTTAGGAATTTGGGTTGCTTTTTGGAGGCACATGGAGAATCCCCGCTTTCTGAGAGCATCATCCAGGCTAACCTGTTTAAAAGAAACATGCCTGAAATAAGTTGTTCTATCTCAACCACCTTTAAGGTGAGGTCGGGTGAAGCCGCTTACAGTCCCCCTCAAGTAGATAGAATATGGTGTCTATGGGGATCTTAGTATAATTGTACCCAAAAAGCCATCTTCTATCTACTTAAGAGGGACTATACATCTGACCAGAAGCTATCTGAAAGGACCTGGAAGCAAGCTTGCTAGTTTGCGGGGGAACAAAGGAACATATCATTCAGGAGTTATAATCTCGCTGTTATATAGGGATTACATAGGGGTTATCTTCCCTTTAAACACCTGTCAGCAATACCATGAAAGCGCTCGGTTTCAGGTTGAGGGGTCTGGCTTGACATTACAAGTTCCTACCTCTGGGAATTGGGCTGTGTAAAGCACCAGAACACCACTGAACAAGAAGTGAAAATGCCCAAAGAAGTCTGAATACAAGTTTCGCACCATCAGCTGGAGAGCCCAAGCTATGGCCTAAATCAACAGTGAGCTTCCCCAATGCGATTCCCTGCTGCAGGGAAAAACTGTTTCATTCTTCATGTTTGGATGCCTCTAGGATTACTACCACGGTAGCTGCGGCAATGACTCTCGCTCACTGCCATATCAATCCCCCTTCTCTGATTCTGAACGACAAGTTGGAGAACATGATTGATAACTTCAGGTTGTATACAGCCTGGCATCATCTTGATTCATTGGGTGCCCTTACTGAATCATATTGACTCATCAGCCAACGCGTTGCCTGGACGAGCGCCAGCTGCCACCGCAGCAGCGGCCACAGCACCACCAGCAGCCAGCGTTGACAGCGAGGAGGCGGCGTTGTTGGTCTGGGCCTGCACACGTTGATTCTGCACCCGCAGCGAGTTCGATTACTTTCTGAGCACATCTGGCACGGGCTTGCTCATTTTGCAGACAGGCTTACAAAGGACGGGCTTCGCAGCAAGAACCTGAATCCTTTCCCACTCTTTGGCGCCTGACACCTGCTACAGTATGTGGTGCTTAACGAAAAGAAAGCACGCAAAGTCATAGACCAGGTAGAAATTGCACAGCAGGGTGCCACCCCCTACTTCACGAACTTATCACGATGGATCCGATGATGCAGCCAGATCTGCAGTAGAGTGGACATCAGCCAGAGCACATGAAATTCGCACCGGACAAAGGACCGGAAACCTGTTTCTACAAAGTAAGATCCCCCATGTCCCCCGAAAGCTATGTGATCACATGCTCCGCGAAATATCTCATGTAGTCTGACAAGCAAAGTATAACTTGCGGTGAGCGAAACTGATCCATGGTGCAACTTTTGACACATTTCCTAGTTCGTACAAAGCATTTAGGGTTTAGGGTATAGAATTCAGGGTTTGGAGTTTAGGATTTAGGATTTAGGGTTTATGGTTGAGGGCTCAGGGTCCCCAAATATATTCGTACTTATAACCAAACCACAAACACCCTTGATTGGGTCAGAAGATGTCAGAAGTATCAGTTGTAAATGAGTTGCAATTACCCTGAACCCTAGATACCCCATTTATACTTTATAACTCCCGAACATCCGCAAGTCCATTCCATTTTCACATATTGGGTTGGAATTACCCTCAAAAAAGCTGCAAGTTGGTCTCAAACCTCAAAGCACCCAGACCCTTAACCCTAAGCCTTAAACCCTAAGCCCTAAACCCAAAGCCCCAAACCCTAAGACAGACATCTGCTTTATAACTCCTATATAACCCCCAATATATATCCTATGATCCCTATAGTTTCCATTTTCTTTTCCATTATCCCAATATAACCTCAATGTATTATGGTAGTTTCCATTTCATTTTCCATTACCCCCAATATAACCCCATTTAATCCCAATATATAATCCTAACATACTATAGTAGTTTCCATGTTCTTTTCCATTACCCCTATATAACCCTAGTATTATTGAGGCTGCGCCTGTGCGGTGGCGGCTCCACGGAGGGTGGGCTGAGTAGCTGCCGGAGTGGTCACGAAAGCGGAGGCTGCGTTCAGAAGGGCCATGCCGCCTGTCCAGATGAGCTATAATCTAAACTCCTAGCAGCCCCCTTACTAACCCCTATAGCAGTCTCCTTATACAGTCCCCTATATAACACTTTTTTATTAAGGCGCTCAGACTATAGTTCACATGGGGCGCTCAGGGTTCTTACGGTTTAGGGCTTAGGGTTTTTAGGGCCTAAACCCTAAACTCTAAACTTCTGGGTCTGGTTTCAGGTCTTGGGCTTCAGGGTTTAGGGTCTAACTCTGGATTTAGGGGTCTGGGGGTCAGCGTCAAGATCTTGAGCCCTGTGCAGTTATTGGGATAATGGAAAATAAAATGGAAACCACTATAGTATGCTGGGATTATATTGGGATAACGGAAAATAAAATGGAAACTACTATAAGATGTATATATATTGAGGTTATATTGGGACAATGGAAAATAAAATGGAAACTACTACAATATATTGAGGCTATATTGGAATACTGGAAAATAAAACGAAAACTACTATAGTACATTGGGGTTCCTGGTCCACAGACAGAACTTGCGGCTGTCGGGGGCACTGACCTTTTGTCTGGCCTGCCCATTAGGGTTTTGGGTTTTGGGTTCTATATACGCCCAGAAGTGTTGGAAACCCTACTTAATCTGGTAGTTTGGCTCATTTCCAATACTACACTGTGGGAGGAAGATGAAATCGAGACCGCCCAGTGTAGGTTGAGGGACAGTTATCAACACTTCCAGCTTCTCAATGGCATCGGCCTATCTAGCCACGCATCCCCATACCAAACATCCCGGTCTCTGCCTCAACACTCTGCCCAGCATCAAACAAAATCAAGAAAGGATGACAACGAGGGCTCCAATCGTGGCCTCAGAAGAAATATCTGCCCCGCGATACGCGCAAACTTACTTCTGGAAGGGCTTCTTCTCAAACAGGACCCATGAACCCTGTGTTGCTCCTGCGGCAGCTCCTGCCAATGCCATCTTTGAGGTGCGCTGCGTCATCCTAACTTCGATAGGGAAGTTTAGAAATGCAAATAGCAATGGCGCATCACCTGTAGACAATTCTTGCCTACCTGCAACTTGGATTTGATCCCGGCGGCGCGAACATATCTGGATTCCATCGCAGGTGGGCTCGTGACTTAGCGTTTGAGATTCACCCAAAGAACTACAAGGAAGAGGAGACATAAATCAGAGCCTGCAGGAAATTCTCGATGCCTGCCATGACAACACAATATCTGGCGATCTTCTGACATACGACGCATGTGAACGGTCAAGCAATCAGGACTCCTATGGACTCCTACACAACCACAAGAAGAAGAAACTACGCTAAGTCGGTACGCAGTGGCTTCCAGCATTTTTCATGCGGCCGCAAAGCTGCGCAAGAGGAGCGAAGTAAAATCATTAAATCGGACCGGCACTTCTCACCGGCAAAGAACCACTTTCATCAAGGGCAGGATTGCGATGGTGCGGTAGCTCCCCCAAGGTAGCAAGACCATCAAACTCTCAAGTGGCTTCATCATGGAGCAAATTCGAAGGGGAAAATTTATGGAAAAGAACTGTGCTGGCATGCTTACTGGAACTCACTGGACGGAAAGGTTACCGGCCTTGTCCATCGGGGTGCCGTCCACCAGGTAGCCCACGTCCTGCGCATAGACGGAAGTAGGCAGCGGGGAGCCAGGAGTGTGCTGGTCAGGCTGGATGTTCTCCGGGTGGTTGATGGCGTTGCCGGCCTTGTTCAGCGGGGTGCCGTCCGGCAGGTAGCCAACATCGTTCACGAAGATGGCAGAAGGCA